TATTATCGATGGAAGCCTACCGTTTACTATTAACTTTAAAGCAAGGGCAGAGTTCATTGAGTAAAATGTGGATGCGTAAGTGAGCTCGAAATTTGGAGTTTGGCAGTTTGGAACCCACTATTTTGACCGAAAGTAGGGAGTTTTTATGGAATTAGCGGGAAAACGAGCCAGTGCACCGTTTCCTGCGGGTAATGGTAGGAAACGATCGGATCTTAGGGACAGTATTGCGCAGGACTTTGACGGATTCTGCTTGCCGTTTCCGAGCGTTTCCGGTAGGACAGTGACGAAAGTGTCGGGAGCTTGCTGGAAATAGCCGGCGGTACCCTGTTTAGGAATATTTTGGCCGTGTTCCGTTGATTTCCGAGATTTTCTATGTTGTTAGTAGATAATATCGGAATAGATCCGGCCGTTTCCACTGTGGTTCCGACTAGATATGATTCCAGGTAAATGTTTCTGAAAAACAGATCCTGGAGGAACCGGCGGGAAAATTCACCGTATCCTGCAGAAAAATATCCCAGGATGATGATTCCGGCGCCCGGATCCGTGAATTCCCAGCGGGAACCTGGAGGAAAGGCATGAGTTGCGGCAGGAAAACTCCGGAAATTGATGAAAATGGAAGCAGTACTCCGGGCCGGAAAATTACGGAATTTTTTCGGCGACTTTCGGCCATTTTCAACCGGAAAGAACAGGAATTTGGTTGGAAAGTATCGGAAAAATCCGGAAATTTCCCGATCCAGAATACTGCTTCCATGAAATTCCCGGAAAGTACCGGAAACGGCCGGTTTCTTGCCGTATTCTTCGACCTGGGAAGCAGGATACGATAACTTTCCGTAAGAATTCCACGCGGATATGGTAATTTTTCAAGATAATTTCGGGCACTGTATTTACACGGAAGTGAAAGGATCCGGTACGGTGCTTTCCGGCCCGAAATACTGCTTTCATTTTCCTTACGTTTTCCTGGCGGTTTCGGGGGGAAATAAGCTGAAAGCTGCCGGAATTAGCGGGAAATAGCCCTGGTTCCTGTTGGTTCCGGCCGGATCTGGAAGCCGGAATCATCGTCCTGGGAAATTTCCACAAAACCATTTTTACGAATAGCACCATTTTCTCTCTCTATTTGTCTTTTCCGAAAAAGATGTTGATGCAATCCCTGCAGGATTAAAATGTGAAATACGATGTAGCTAATGTTCCTAATTCCATAAAAACTGGGCTTTTTATGTATATTGGGCAATATTTCTTCATCATTGCTTATGTTACAGTACGGAACATAAACAAGGAAATAATTTATATAAAGTGGCGGACAAAATTTTATAGCACTTTTTGTTTCGCGATCTTTTCTGTGAAGGGCAACTTGTTTGGGACAACGAAATAGTGATTTCGATAGCTCTCGAAAAGGGCCACAAGTCTGTGGTGTTAGAATTTGTTAAGCCATCTTTCTCAAATATTATTGATGGATACATTTTTCTCCCAGTGGACAAAATTTTAGAGCACTTTTAATATTTTATTAATATTTCGCTAGTAAATAATTATTAAGAACTCTTTTATATATCATTCGATGTAAAATTGAATAGGCTATATTTTGGTAAAAAGCACTTTTCGATTATTATTAGTTTTAATTAATTAATAATAATTATACTTAACTAATATTAATTAACAGGTATAGAAAAATTTCCTTTTAATTTTCGACTTTCAAGTAAACCCCCCGACACATTAGAAGACCCCCCACCCCTGTGGCAGAGATGGCCCTCCCTTGAATCAACGAAGTGAAGGATAGATGAGAAGACCCACCCATCTCCTCTGACGATCCCCTTAGAAGTAGGTGAGCAGGTCCTCTAATCTATCCTTTGGGTTGTTGATTCAAGAGAGGGTCATCTCTACTATAGGGGTGGGGGGTCTTCTAATGTGTCGGGGGGTTTACATCATTAGAAAGAGCGTTAAAAACTGAAAAAAAGCGTATATTACTTTTCCCAAAATAATTCATTTTAGTAGGATTTTAGTGGGAGAGAAAACAGTTTAGTAAATCTTACTAGTATACTGTACTGGAATACATGCTAGAATGTCCTTGCAAAAATATCCTTCATAAAGTGTCCCCTACTTTTCATCGGTGAAAGAAAATCCTTCAGAGTAAATGTCTCTGAGAAATGGTCCTTACTGTTATGATCCTCCAAAAAAATGTCCTCCATAATCAAAATATCCTTTCAGTAAAATATGGACAACGCTCAGTGATAATGATAAACATGTAGTCTAATTTATTATAATCGATTGAGTTTTACTTTATTTTTCATTTGCAACAACAACAGAAAGTCCACGTGATAATTCCTGTGAGATAGGGTGTGGGTGAAAATGAAGAGAAGATGCACACCCACTCCCAAATCTCATCCTCAGCTACCCACACCCACACCCATATCCACATCCACACTCACATCTACACCTACACCCACA